CTCTCTCTCTCAGACCTTCACTAACACAGTACCTCATAACATGCACATGCCCTAAGTCCCTAACCAGACCCTAACCAAGTCCCTATCTGACTTACTCATCATTCACTCCCCCTTATATACCTTAGCTCCTCCCTCTGAAGTCCCACCTCCTGTCCTGCTATAGGCAGATGAACTCCAGCCATAGCAATGACAGGCAGGTGACATCACCGCAGCCGTCACAGTCATGTCTCCACGCTTTCTTCCAGACTAGGGGTTTTCAAATTCTAGTACATTTGATGTACTGATTTCTCAGACCACTCTGTGAACTGCATAGGATTCTAGGACACAACAGAGGCATGATTCTCCATTCACTAAGGTCACTGGTTGAGATCCTACTTCATGTTACTCTCCATACAATGGATCAGCTGATGAAAATGATAAATTACCTGTCAGAAGGATGAGATACCCAACACAAGCAGGTTACCATTCTGGTCATCCCATGAGCTACTCCTCTGCTAACAGGAAGGAATATGGTCTTGCTACCACTGTTTATTCTCTAAGTTCAGAAGTGGCCAGTTTCTGGTCATAGGATTTCACTGCTCTCTACTATGCCTTACTTTTGACATGCCAGAAAAAAATCTAGAAGGATGGGTGTGCTTGCATGTATATGTAAATTAAAATTATTTTTGAGTGGTACATAAAGAACCTACCTTTCGTTTCACAAATTTGTCCCAGTAATTATTTGGAAATGAGCTGCATAGACAGAGCAATAAGAATACAAAGTTAACTGGCAAAATACATAAGAATTCATTTATTACACTACTGTTTTATTATTATAACTTTAGACAGATGTTGCTTGGTGAATTATCAGTAGAGCTTTCTATCATAAAAATGGAAGAATTTTTTTTTTACTTGAGAAATTTATAATTCATTTATAGCACTTTTGGTAGCTGGGGAAAATATCAACCTGATCTTCCCAGAAGGCATACTGAAGCAGAGACACAAAATAACAGAAACAATTATATTTTACTGTGATCTGTCTAATGTATGATGACAAGTCATGAGAAATAAAGATAGATCTTATAGGTGCTGAAAAGCTGTATCAGAAGTAAGAAGAATTAGGTGGACAGCTTAAGGTGAGTTTAGAGTGGGAACTTGCAACAAATTATTCTTGGCATTAATTATTCCTTTAATCTTGAGAATAGAGAAGGGCATCACTTTTTATATACAGACAACGCCCTCAACCCATATCTTGTATTCAGGCTTATTGGTTATCAGTTTGTCACCTTCTGTAATATCCATTCCTGCTAAAACTGGTATTGGTAAGAGTTATAATGATGGGAACAGCCCTGGCTCTTGTAAACATATCAGGTTGCTTTTTCTGGGTAGATGACTGGCCTTTCCAGTTCAATCCTTATTCTGTCTCTATATGTTTCAGGCAGGTCTGATAGGAACAGAGCTTGGAAGCATTACTTTTCTAGACTGTGGTCCCCTGAGTTAGTCAGCCAGCATGGCCATAACTATGCTGGCTGGGGGATTCTGTGGGCTATATTCCAAAAATGCAACCTTTTCAAGCTCTGGATGGTAACATGGTATATCATAGGAGCAGGATGGGAATACTGTACAAGGTTGGGATGCTCCACAATGTGAACAAAATCCAAGCAAAGCCCTGCTTGAAGTGAGCTGTGTCTGAAGAACTGAATGGTTCTTTTCTTGCTTTGACAAAATGCACCCTGGAAAACTACTGCTAGAGGACAACAACCTATTGCCATAAAGATGTTTCAGCATTTGGTCCCATTAGTAATTTCACAGTCTGCAGTTTTTCAAAACATGCTCTTAAAAAACTACCATTTCATAGGCAAAGGGCAGTTGTTGCTTATTATATAATCACAGAGAGAAATGGTAAAAAAAAGAATGCACGGTGACTATCACCATTATTACTTGGACACACAACTAAGTAACATTAAATTAAGTTAAATAAATAATAAAATAAATGAGAAAAAAGGTTTCTTAGAAGCATGGGAAGACACATATCCCATTCAATTCAAGGACTTGCCCTTATCTGCAACATTTTCATCCCTTTTTAATACACCTCTTGCTAATTACAATGTATTTAGAACATTACACCAAAGTAACAGCAAGATGGAGAGAAAGATATAAATGCAACTAATTTTTGATAGGAAAAGTATCTAACAAACACAAACAATTGTCACAAAACACAAAGATTAGTGAACGCTTTTTGGAATGCTTAAAGGCAAAATGTGTTACTTACGGAGTGTTTATGACTAGGCGATCCCATTGTCCTTTAATGTCATCTTCCGAGGGTTGTTCAGTGATGTATAGACCATCAAACTCTAGCTTCCTCGCAATATCTTTTTCCCGCTTGAAAACAACAAGGGGAACCTTTTGGAAAATATATTCAGAGTGTTTTATCCCTCATGAGTTGGAATCTTCCAAGTTGAGCTAAACATTTTCAAATGTTTTGGAAATAGTTCTTAAAATAAAATCTTACTGTATTTTTAAATTTTACTCCTCAAATCAATTTGCCTTTAAGAACCGATAACTGATGAATTCTGAACCAATGTCAAAGGGACAAAGTGCTTGCCTGCTACTCTTCCAGGGCTCTTTGAGTGGTCACCTGTGAACTCATACTTCTGGACTTCTTCGAATTCTCACATTCTAATTTGGAACTTTCTACAGCTGTGATTAGACCCCTGCTTCCTTCCACTGCACACAACTCAGGTTCATCTCCTGTGTTATCCTCAGTTCCCATCATGCTCCTTGATATAAAGCATTACTGTGGTATTGTCAATGACTCTTTGCACATTCCCCTCTTGGATGGACTTCTTAATGTGGTGATGGGGGTTAAGTGTGCCACAGGAGCTGACACAAAGGTGGTCAGGAGATCAGACTCCATTACAAGTATGGACTCCTACCAGCGTCACCCAAGGCAGAATGTCCAATGCTGAGAAACCAGACTAAGATACGTCCACCCTCTTCCGGAATCTTAGTCACATCAGGAGAAGAGAATGGAGAAGAGAATTTCCAGTAGTGATGGGGGTGGAGAAAGCTCCTGGAGGGTAGCTACTTTCAGATACAAGATAGTGACTCTAACAAGATGGTTGCATTGCTTTTAAAAAATCCTATTTAAATTGGGTTTAGCCTGTTTTGATTTGCTGTAAGAATGGATGAATACATGACACATGCGTAACAGCACATTAATTTGATGAGGAATTTTTTTTTTGTGAGTGGCAGTGGATTTTTTTACTCCTCCATCAGAGGTCTGTTTATTTTAACGTGGCTGTTAGATACTGTTTTACGAATCACTTTGCCCCATGTGCACTGCTCTGTCAGGGGAAATTGCTCTACATTTCTAGTTCTCCATATTTGTGTATCTCCTCTGCCAGGGAGGGAGGGAGGTGGGTGGGAAGAAGGCTGTTTTTCTGCTAGCCACTGGAAGCAAGGGACAGGTAGACAATGGACAGACCAACCTATGGACATGCACATGGATAACCAGCACTTGATAGGTTTGGGAAAAAGGGATCACTTCCCCTAGACTGCTGTCTGTTTTTATTTTTTATTTTCTTCTTTCATTGTAACAGAAAAGGAGGAGGGTGGACAGGAAGAATCCTCTTTGTCTGCCAGCCACTGCAAGCATGGATAGGAAAGCAGAGGAGAGATTAACACATACACAAAGACATGGGGTACTGGTGGCTGGAAGGCAGAATGCCTTGCAATGTGTATTTCAAGTCAAAGTGGAAAGGTTTGTCACTGGATAGCCTAATAGCCAAAAGAGACATCTGACTACTATTGGGTGCCGATGCCATTCATGAGTAGACATCTCCAACTTAGATCATTATATTCAACAATGCCCTCTCAGGCCAAAGACTGCCAGTGGTCTGGTCAAATGTTTCTGTGAATCCGTCAGTTCCACAACTGCAGGGCTAAAGGCATCAGTATGCAGATTGTTGCTCGTTAATATATTGTAGTGTTGAATGGTATTAGACCTTGAGCTTTCTTGAAAGCTCTCAGTGCTTTTTCACTTGCCATTAACTCCAACACATAATAAATAATAAAGCAATATATTTAAAAATGTATATGAAACAACAGTAGATAAAATGTTGTCCACAAAATGAACAGAACTTCCAGAAAGTTTCTCCTAGAGACCGGCAGTAGGAATTTGAATTTTTATATAGTTTGATAAGGAAGAAGCTCTTCATAATCATTTCAGGTAAAAATGAAATTGCAGGCGTTTAATGATGTTTTGGTTTTGCTGCCAAGAAGGAGAGAAGTTCTTGTTTTTTTGCTCTCAGGCACTATTTCCCGATGTGGTGTCTCACTTTTTGTCAGTGCAAGAAAATCTGCTAGCACTTGTTACATTCTTACCTTTAAACAGTAGTATCCAATAACACAAACAAAAGAGATGATTGTATGAATAACAGCTAAAGCTCTCAGTGCAGGTGCCATATAGCCCGTACTTTCTTGTAATACAAAAAACACCAGTCCATCTTCATCCTCATCCTCATCTAAAGAATGCCATAAATCAGAATCTTCCATTTCTTCAAATGGCTCTTCTGTAACCTGAAATTGATGTATAAACACAGATAGAATGGGAGAGAAAGAATTCATGTGTGTATTATGCATTAAGTACAAATTATAAAAATAACATCTTGGGAGCATATTTTGCACATGACTTTTACCAAATTTGTTAACAAATGAGTTTAAGATTGTGTTAAGATTGTCAGGAGAAGGCTTTCTCTTGGTCCCACCACCTTTACAGGTGCATCTGATGGGAGCACAGAGACCTTTCTCTGTTATTTCTCCCAGACTTTGGAACTCCGTCCCACAGGAAATCAGACTGCCCCATCTTTGCTATCCTTCTGCAAGCAGACAAAGATCTTTCTCTTCAAGCAAGCCTTCCCTCAGTAATCAGCTACCAATGTGTGATTTTTAGATGGATTACTATGCACTATTGGTTTGATTGGATTTTTAGTACTACTTGTTTTCCATTTTTGTGTTTTCCATTTCTCAGAGTGGCATTATTTTAAAAAAATGAATTGTATACTTATTGATTTTTGTCTTAATATTGCCTCTTAATGATGCAAGATGCCTCTTTATTCATTGTTTGTCATTTTAAATACTGTCTTTTAATGATATTGACCTTCATTGTATACTCATTGTTTTCAAATACTATCTTTCATTGTTGTTAGCTGCCTCAGGTCCTTTTCAAGGAGAAAGGCAGGGTAAAATATTGTAAATAAATAAATAAATAAATAAAT